TTCCCTCTAGTCTTACACTGCTAAATTAGGGACGGCTAGCGCAGATAGCCCTCGTGTAGCTTTGCGCGAAATTCAAAAACAAATTCGTCAACGGTTCAATAAAAATCAGAGCTTCGCTACAGTCTGACTTGCTATTTTCTTTAGATGCTTGATTAAAGTATAGAAAAAAATAGTGCCATTTACCCAACATATGTAATTTTATTTTGCTTACACGTGATGTAATTTAACCTATTTTTTTCAGCTGTTGAATTACAGTTTTCGTACAGCTCATTTTGAAGAGTAACAAATCGCAAAATTATTACGTATTTATGCTCCTCCTGTAACTGGTGGCCCGAAACTTTGATTCTTTGTTATGATATGTGATTATTTATTTTTTAGCAGATTTTTAGATAAAAAAGAACTATTTTGAAACAAATCATTTGGTTTAGTTTGCTCATTTTAGCCCAAAGCTACGCAAAGGGCTATCAGCACTCTCTTCATGGCGGGGAATTGAACTTAGGATTTTAGTGACACAATGTAACACTAGATCGATTTATTTTACGTAAATTTATAACATAATAATCTTTTTTTTGGAATGTATCAATGAGTATGAAAAATGGGTTGTTAACAATAAATATTGTGAATTAAAAGCAGTTATTTAAAGATTGTGCATAAGTATCATATGATATCAATAAATATACCAAACATGTATCCTGAAACTTAACAAGAAGGAATTCTCAATAGCTACGGCGGTTGAAATTTTTAGACAGGATTAGATTAAAATCCTGAGTCCAAAACAATAATTAGATCTGAAATCGGTCACGAGATGGAGCTATGAACAAAAAGTTTGTACTTGAAAAAAAAAAACTGTGCCATTCTATGAGTCGATATACAGCAGCTAAAAATAGAACAACCGGTTGTATAGATGCTTTTAAATTCTGTTTAAGATACTATTCTTGACATGAATAACGAAGATGGTCTGAACCTCTTCCAAGTTTCTAATACAATGATGCATCAATTGTAAAACATCATATACTAGAAATGGCTGTATTTTACGAACTTACTTTACTCCTCTTTAAATATGTTTCGCCTTCATAAACGTCCCGACTAAGCCCAAAATCGGAGATTTTTACAACTTTCCCTGAAGCCAGAAGCACATTCCTTGTTGCGAGGTCTCGATGAATGAGCTATAAGTATTAAAAATAATTTTATTGAACACTGAATTCATCGTTTTAAAATTGAAACATATTTATATTATGAAACGTGCGCCATCTACTGACAGATAAATAAACAATAAACGTATTTTCAGGTGCAAAGGCTTACTATGCGTTATTTATTATCTTTTATTACTTATAAAAAATTTTTTCGATGAATAATAATGATATCCATGCAATTTCATATCTCCTAAATTCGATTAAATTTGAATTTTCTGTATATTTACTCTCTCTCTCTCTCTCGCACACACACACATATATATATTCGTTTCATTGGTTATCGAAATAATTATTAATAAGTGAGGATTCACCACCAGGTTCACTGGTTTTTTTGCATGAGGCTTGATGACGAAAGGTGTTCTAATTTTCTGGAAACGTATAGACACAAAGTAATAAAATCAAAATAGAATTATAATGCTACATTAAGCTTACTTTTTGTGACTAAAAAGCTTAGTTACATTTAATACCATTCACACACACACACACACACCTAAAAAAAAAAAATCCGATTGGTAAATGGCAAAAAATGAAGGTTGCAATCAGTACAACACCATTCACATAGAAAAAAACTTTAAAAAATAAAGAATTAGTTTTATTCATCTGTCATTGCAGGGAAATTCAAAACGAGCGTTACTTTATACTTATATTTTAGTTTTTTTTATATTAATAGGTTGTATGAATAATTCTTAATAGAAACGTAAGGACTTGATATTATTCTTTTGTGTTTACGAAGGCAAATGAATTGTGTTATCAATTGCAAGTTGTCAATGTTTAAGAAAATTTAAAGATGTACCTCTCATGTAATTTAAAACATCTATCTTAACATGCAGAGATATACAGTACACAAGTTAATTGTCATAACCCATGCATTAAATTAGAAGTCCTACAACTTTCAAATTTTATTAAGAAATGTATTCCAGTAGTTTCTGTCGCTGATTTTAAAAATTTGAGACATTATACGTTGTGCATACATACATTTTTTGATATATGGATATTTGTGCATATTATATTGAAATTAATGTTCATGAGCTTCCACACTATCAATAATGTGAACATAAATATCAAACTATTTGGAAAATATAACAAACTTACCTTCATATTACTTAAATATGACATTCCGTTGGCAATTTGCCAAGCGAACGACAGAAGTTCTGCCCAAGGAATACTTCGAAATTGCTGTCGGGAGATGTCACCACCATCGACAAAATACGTTGGATTTCCAACTTGACATGTGTAGCTAACCTCAAGACGGCGGGTTTTTCGTAGAAAACAACGTAAAGAACCAAGATCAGCATATTCTACAATGATATACAGTGGTCCCCCTGAAAAATATTTGGGAAGAAATAATTAAAAAGTTTCAATAAAAATCTCTATTACAAAGATATTCAGTCATTTTTTGACCCGTGTATTATGTATTAACTTACATTACGTACCAAACATCATACCATGACCAATTAAGTATTGCATCTTCGAGCTTGATCAGCCAGGTTGACGATATAGAACGTCACTCAGTGGAGTTTCATATAACTTTACCTCTAGAAATGATTATTCCTAACACGATGAGTTGAGCTTTGAACCAAATCTTTCATTCTGAGATAATATTAATATGCAACTGTACAATATACATATTATATACAAGAGATTTCAAACAGAGATACAGACAAGAGGCTAATCAGATCGAACTCATCAAGGAAAAGCTGGTTAAGTTATATTTATTACAACATTTAATAGTGGTAAAGCTGGTAAATTCTAAGTTTTTATAATATCTAAAAGATTATCCATAACATAATTCACATGGGTTTCTTGTTTGCAATTGTCAATAAACACAATAAGTAAACTGAAGAAAAATCAAATGTTGCAAAATAATACAATTTAAAACCATTTGCAGGCTAAACAATAAACTGGAAATTTTAGTTTATAGATCGGGGACAAAATTAACAAAGCCATTATCAAAGACAAACAGCTCTAAACTCTAAAAGTGGTGATTCCAAAAATCTCAAAATTTAACTCATCAGACGAAAGTGCTCTTTTCTTCGAATGCAGGTTGTCCAATTTTGAGGGACTTTTTCAAATGCAAGTCTCTTCTTTTCGTTGCCTTTCTGCAACAAAGGTTTTCTTGCTGAAATATACCCTTTCAGACCTTCTTGGCATAATTTGCGTGGCACTGTGTAAACGTCAACTTTAACACCAGGGGTTTCTTGAAATTCTGTAGCTAGACAACTGCTACATTTCCCTTTCTTTGAGTGAAATAAGTCTAAGGTGCTTAACATCTGATCTGGAAAGCCAAGATCTTCTGGCCTGTTCTTTTCAAGAGTGGTATCAGTTTCGTTGCATCTTTTGATAATTTGTTGAACTCCGGTTGTGACACTTTCGTTCTTGAAGAAATTTTCCTCTCACTTCTTTTATATAAAGCTATTATTTTATGTCTTACTTCATTAGCAACTGTGCGCTTTAGAACCATATTTAGTACTTGAAACTACAACAGTTATATTAGAGTCACAGATTGAATAAAATTTCCGGTAATGTTTACAAAAGCAAATAATAACTTAAACGGTCAAAGGAATATGTTTTTCTAGTACCTTTGCAACAGAAAAGTAATAAATATGTGGAATACCATTTGATGTTAGTGTAATTGCTGGAGCATTAAAAAATAAAAAAGCTACATGCCCAAGCATTCAGAAATCTGACTATTGTCAGTTCTGACATTTTTACATCTCATATTTTAGAATTCATTTAAAAAAAATGATTTGGAAGTTATTTTAAATTGACGTTATTAAAATATTTGATCGTGGACACCTTCTTTACAGGAGACTGAATGGTGGTATCTAATTTATGCACAGTAGTATCTATCTATCTGTATATATATATCTGTCTATCTATCTGTATATATATATCTGTCTATCTATCTGTATATATATATCTGTCTATCTATCTTCTCACATTCAGAATAATTTTATTATGGCTATATTATGTGGTATAAATATGCACACACATATATATATTTATTTATTGTTATTATTACGTCGTATACTGTATTAGGTAAACAATGTGGTTATTTCAATTAAATTTGTCCATAATACATTGTAGTGTTTGCCGGAATATAATGGGATTTTTGTTGAGGAATCTAACATGAAATTTATGTAAACCTATCCTTAATCTCAAAGTTTCTGTTTCGACAACAAATAATTTACCACAGTTTAAACATATTCTAATATATATACATTACATCTCTTGAATTGCAATTATAAAAATTATTAAGGAAAAACCTTTATCTTTCTCTTTGTTGAAGAATTTAAGGTGATATTAACAAGGAAGGAAATACATTTCATTTTGAGTAATTTAGAAATAAGTTATTTTGATGTAGTTTCGAAGATCCGTAAATTAAAATAGATTAATGAAATATTATTAAAAACAAACGAATATATTCACATTGGAAAACCTAATATTTAGAGATGACCGATTTTAGGAGGTAATCAAAATATTATTACGTCATATATTATATTAGGTAAACAGTGTGATTATTTCAACAAAAGTATATAAAATCATACATCCAATATTTTTATATTATCGTTTTGACATTGGGGATTATGGACAAAGGAAATTGTTACTTTAATATATCAACCTTTTTAAACGTGTGTATGTAACATTATTTATAGATATTATATCTTTATATAGGTATAACGATTATGGACAAAGGAAATCGTTACTTTAATATATCACCCTTTTTAAACGTGTGTATGTAACATTATTTACAGATATTATATATTTATATAGATATAACGATTATGGACAAATTAAATTGTTACTTTAATATATCACCTTTTTTAAACGTGTGTATAACATTATTTACAGATATTATATCTTTATATAGGTATAACGATTATGGACAAAAAGTGTAATGAATAAATATGTTCTTTTTTTTTCTTGTTGTAACAATTGTTTGTTTGGTGTCAAACTTGTAAAAACTCGTTTTGTTATTTTAATAAAATTAATAGAAGTATTTACCTTCCCACCAAGTATTGAACATGTAAACTTTATAAAACTTAAACGTCCACATTTGTTGAAGTAATGATACTTAAATTCATTCTGACAACATTAAAAATACCTTTAAGTAATATGAAAGAGATAAAAAGTTAAATATGGTAAGTTTCATTCCAGGTGCCTCCCAGTGGCTTGCAAGTTTATACGCTATAAATCGGGGTTCGATGCCCTTGAAGGGCACAGCACAGGTAACCTATTGCGTAGCTTTACGCTAAACAGAAAAAAACGAATAAACATATAACTAAAGGAATTAAAAATATTTAAAGTATGAAGTTTATAATCGTCATAATTGTATTTGCACTGAGAGCAGTACCATAAATTGAAACTAACAGAATGAAAACAAAATAGTCTAAGAAAAATTAATATTTTGTAGAAAACCTCCAAGTTGACGTTTGAAGATTTTAATCATGCTTTGTTAGATTATACTATGTAAAGTTAGGTTTGCTAAATGTGTACATAATGTGTAGAATGAATTGACTCAATATTATTTCAAAAATAGCTGTTATAGATTTGAGGGAATTTCAAGCTAAGATGAAGGTTAAGGAGTGAAGAGACAATAAAAATGATAATGCAGCTGCAATAAAACTGTATAGTCAGTACTCTAAGCTCACCATTAGACCGAGAAAAATGTGACAACGTAAAAGCTAACCGTATTTTAACTGAATACATTTATTTTAGATGTTTTTTGACATAATTAAAGCTACAAAATTTCAGACTAAACTACCGTGACTGAAAGAATAGTAAATATTTCGATTAATTGAAATTTACATCAAGAACTACTGAAATACAGATAAGATTGTTTCAGGATTACCTTTCTGTGTACAAGCTCCCAGTAAGCGGATCACGTTAGGATGACAGACTTCTTTCAACATATTAAATTCTGAAAACAGATCCATTTCCTCTGCGTGTGTTCCATTTCCTACGGCACATAAGATGATTTATATAGAAGCGTACTGGCTAGCAGTTCGTTACACGAATTAATTACCTTATGTTCAAACCATTATGTAATTTGTTCACGTTTAATAACAACATCGTCATCTACACACAGACAATGTAAACAAGAACAGCTTATCCATCATTAAATATCAATCTTTTGTTCGGTAAATTCTCACACGGTACTAAAATAAAAATCAAATTTTGTTTATTTTTTACTGGTTCTTTAGAAATTTAGTATAAATTCCCTAATAGTTCTATTTTCTTTTTCTCACCTGTTTCATGACTTCATAGGTCACTCCTCTGAATGTAATTTTTAACGCAAACCTACAAAATCTTTTCAGCTACTATATCTTACAAGTTGGCATATAAAAATAGATAATACCGATTAAACACATTTTTAAAAATAAGTACAAATAAAATAGAATTGTCATATAAATTCAATAGATCAAAATATAAAGTAGTTTAAACTTATATTTGTTTGTTTCTAATTAAGCACAAAGCTACACAATGGGCTATCTGTGCTCTGCCCACCACGGAAATACTGCTGTGCCACTGGGGGGCTTTAAACTTATAAAATATACTCCCTCTTCATCTCTATACCTCCCAGTGGCACAGCGATATGTCTGCGGGCTTACAACGCTAGAAACCGGGTTTTGATACCGTGGTGGGCAGAGCACAGATAGCCCATTGTGTAGCTTTGTGCTTAATTACAAATAAACAATAACAACAACAAAAATCCTTTCTATACCCCAGCCTCGAAGTGGCTCAAAGGTAAGTCTGATAGGTTCACACTGCTAAAAATCGGGTTGCGATTCTCGTGGCAGCCCGTTATTTAGCTTTGTGCTTAACAACAAACAAACTAATCTATTCCAAACTTTTATTTACAAATTAATATTATGGATTCGAGTTTCACTACAATTACACTTTCCCATAATATCATAAAAATAGTTTATTTCCCTAATCTTTAACAATTTAATTACAATATCTGTTATCACTTTACTGTATTTTATGTAATTCTTTGGGACACTTGCTATATTTGCACAATTCAAACGAATGTTACTGGACAACTAACTGCTACTCTGCCCTTTTACCTCTAACTATTTAAAGTGAGTCCAGAAAACTGTTAATTAATTTTCAAACAAGGTGTTGTGGGGAAATGTAATTGTGGTAAAGTTTGAGTATATGAAATTGGTTTGTAAGAAAAACAGAAGAGAAATTTATAAGTTTAGACTAAGATTCTTTTTCATTTAATTTTACTTTATTTGTATATGTTGTTTTGTTTTTGAAGTAAAGCACAAAGCTACACAATGGGCTATCTGTGCTCTGCCCACCACGGGTGTCGAAACCCGGATTCTAACGTTGTAAGTCCGCAGACATACCGCTGTGCTACTGAGGGCTTATTTGTATATACTTCAAGAAATAATTATTTAACTTAAGCTATTTATTTTTATATATTAAGCTGGAAAACTATCGCATATGCATTTTTATAGTCTCTTGTTAAAGCGTCACGAAACCGGTTAAAGGAAATCAAGAATATAAAAGACAATAGAACTAAAGTTTTATATCTATGTTTAAAGGTTGAAATTAACATGTATTTTAGTTTTATATCTATGTTTAAAGGTTGAAATTAACATGTATTTTAGTTTTATATATAATGATATTCACATATACTTACATACATAACAGGAAATAAAAGGAAAAATTTCAAAGAGTGGGCTTAGTTGACATTAAATATATGTAAATAAATTCCTACTTGTCTTGCTAAGGTATCACCTTTCAACATCTTTACAGCCACTGTAATATATTATTGTTATAGCCACTGTAAGTGTTAAATGTAAATAAATTCTTACATGTTTTGTTAACATATCACCTTTTAACATCTTTACAGCCATTGTAAGATATTATTGTTACAGCTGCTGTAACTGTTACGTGTAAATAAATTCTTACATGTTTTGTTAACATATCACCTTTTAACATCTTTACAGCCATTGTAACATATTATTGTTACAGCCGCTGTTACTGTTACGTGTAAATAAATTCTTACATGTTTTGTTAACATATCACCTTTTAACATCTTTACAGCCACTGTAACATATTATTGTTACAGCCGCTGTTACTGTTACATGTAAATAAATTCTTACTTGTCTTGTTAACATATCACCTTTTAACATCTTTACAGCCACTGTAACATATTCTTGTTGTCTTGTAATATTCCAGGCTTGAGCTTTCATCACTCTTCCAAATTCTCCTTCTCCCAAAGTTTCCTCAAGTATCAAATTCTCACGAGGAAATTCCCACTTGACGTCACTCTGGAATTGTTTACCAAGCATATAACCAACTCAATAATTAGTCAGCACGCACAAAGAAATGTATTCCAATAATCAAGTTGTATACACATTAAGAGACAAAAATGTAGGTTATTTAATTTTTTTTACTAATAGGAATAACTTTTTTATTGTTGTCATACCTAGTTCCTGCAAAACACCTACATTAATACTAAAATTTTATCTAATCTTTACAGATCACATTAGTTTCTGTCTTATCTACCTTGTGGAAATACGGCCTTAGCGTCTTATTATTAATAGGCATTTAGAGGTAAATTAACTTACAGTGTTGTCTTATCTACCTTTTGGAACTAAAATGACTTTAGCGTCTTATTGTTGCTAGGCATTTAGAGGCAAAATAGTTTATAATGTTGTCGTATCTACTATTTTGATAGAAATTTGCTTTAATAGTATATTGTTATTTAACATTGTTCATTGTTTTTTTCAATGAGCATTACGAGAAAACATAAACTTTTCCACAGCTTGTAAAGAATATAATTGCGCAAATTCCTTGTTTAGTTTTGTAAAAAAATTTCTGGTATGTACAGAGTGAAAGTGTACAAGATGAGAACGTTCACCTTACTGAGCGATGGAAATCTGCGCACACTTTCAAGTTTCTGTCTATAAAGAGTTAATATTTTACGAAATACAAACATCAAATTTTTTAAATGTTGCTTGAAACATTCACTTAAAGAAACGTTAGATAAACTGACTTAGCCCAACTGTGCATTGCACAAACACACACGTAGACAGCATAGAACATCAACTGTACATAGGCAATAAAATAAGTGCAAATCAGTGATGAATACGATACGATTCGCCCAAGGAATACAAATATTCCCTCTCCCTCCCCCCAAGAAAACTGCAAAATGTACAACTATAAATTTAAATAGCTATTATAAGATCATATACCTTATTTCATCAGTGTCTATCAAATATAGATGAAGAACAGAAATTGAGTAAGGGGGGTGGGACCTATAAGTCCTTCCTCCATTCACTGTCTGCAGCCCGTTGTGGGCGTGGCAGTATTCCTTATTCCTTTTTAATGATTGTGCAGATACTCTGGTACAATTAGAAAATGCAAATGGTTGAGTATAAAATACATTTAGCAAAATGTCAAATACATGTTACTTTACAGGATAACTCCAAAAGTATGTTTTATGAAAGTAATGTTTGCGTATGACTGGTTATTGATAAACATGTATGTTATGTTGTGAACAGAATGGCTCTTAGCTTAAACACTTATCCTGAAATTACCGACTTTATTATAACTATCACTATACGGGCCAAGTCCACGTATTGCATCATATCAAGTAATTGTTTGTTTTTGCCCATTACGACCCTCGGTATATAAAACTGCTCAAACAAATTTGATGAAATAAATCATTTTCCGTGTACAATACATAGGCGACCCTAACAGTAATTAATAGAATTAAGTGCAATACCGTTGGTACTTTTTCTTAGGTTATTTTTATTAGGGACCCTGCAACCAGCAATGTCATCAACTCACAAGTAATTTGCAGCATAAACAGCTTAGAAATATGCGTTAAAATGCGTTTAAAAAGTTGAAGAGATCCAACCTCATCGTTTATTTTAAAGTTAACTGAAATGATGTAGTTCATCTTTCATTACCTGCTGTTGATCATGGCTATAGGTTACTACTTATGTTTCAGACTACTTGTTGTTAATCATGACTATAGGTTACTACTTATGTTTCTGACTACTTGTTGTTGATACTAACCATAGCTTACTATTTATGTTTCAGACAATTTATTAATAATAACTATAGGTTTCTGCTTATGTTTCAGGCTACTTGTTGCAAATAATTATAGGTTACTATTTTATTTCAGACTATTCGTTAATAATAACTATAGGTTACTATAGTTATTATTGTTTCATATTATTATTGCTAATAAAGCTATAGGTTATTATTTATGTTTCAGACTACTTGTTAATAATAACTATAGGTTTCTACTTATGCTTTAGACTACTTGGTCTTTATAATAACTATTGGTTGTTAACTTATGTTTTAGACCACACTCATACATCAGTTAGAGACAATAAAGTAAAAATAAAACTACTATATACAGCAAATCAGACACATTTTTGACACTATGTAACCTGCTACTGCACTAAACTAAAACAATTCAATGAAAAAACATACCAAAAATGTCTAAAAAGGCATGTGCGCATACCATTGTTTTGCTGGTGTTTGAACTGTCACTGGCACTTTGAGACTCGTGTACGGAGGACGATCTTTCGTCGACGTAATCTGAGGGGACAACTGACAAAGATATTCGACTACCGACATATTTGTGTTTTTGTTTTCTATTCGTAGACTGTCGAACTCTTCGAAGTACACAGAAAACAACACAAATTCCAATTCCACAAGTTACGAGTAGGCATATAAGCGCCGTGCAACCTTTACCACATGGCGCCACTGTTGTGATTCCTGAAATATTCGAAAACACCAAGTTATTATTCTTTTATTTCTTATGTACATCTCGTTTTTGATCAGTTTTTACTTAGTTTTATTATTGTCTCTTGATTCGCTTCTTAAAAATTGCACTATTCTGTAGTATATTTTAAAAGTATAATTATTTGAATCGGATGCGCTACATGGTGAGAACTTTTATAATAACAATTTAAAACACCATATAGATTTGTTTGTTTTTCTGTCGAAAGTTACAGACTGGGCAATCTGTGATCTGCCCGTCGCGTGTATCGAAACCTGATATTTAGCGTAATAAGCCGACTGAGTCACCGCTGAGCCACTAGGGGGGTTCGCTATTTAGATTTATCTTTACGATCTACCATAACAAATACAAAGTGCAACTTAGTAGCGTCTATATACATTTCAAATGAAAAACGCTAACTTGTAGCAATTTTATTAATTTCAAAATAAAACTCCATATATCGGTATTTCAATCATCCAACCCTTCCTCACATCGCTACAATTTCATTCCATCTAATATACATTTATTAAAAAGGTGCAAAAAGTTAGGCTTAATTTCTAAAACAAAATTAGAGTTATACAAAGCTTTGAACACATCTCCTTTTTTTTAATGTAAAATTATGGTTTTTTAAAACTCGAGTCGAGAAATGATTTCATTACAAAGGTGTTAATATTTTCTTAAATGTATCCTTCTTATGGGGCTTTAATATTTTCCAAAAAAAAGGGAGAAAGGACGGTTCTCTCGGACAAACGTAAGTAAAATTTTTGGTGACAAACTGGTAAGACTGGCTCGGTTGTGAAAAGGTTGGTTATTAATTCATTTCATTTAATGTGCTCTAGCGATACATCTTTGTCTAGATCCTGCTTGTGTAAGTCTGTATGATGATAGGCAAGCTCTAGAAAATGCTTTAATGTTTTACTCAAGGACATAACTCATGAAGACAGTCAGGCGCCAATGCGTCGGGCTTTAATTTAAAAGCCCAAGTATTCTTGAATTTGGATATGTGAACTCTTTCAATTTTTTTTAAAATTAAACACGGCAAATAAAACCATTTATTATATTATTCTTCAAAAAAAGCAAAATATATCATTAGAAGTGTAATTAATATTTAAAAACACACTTATGTTGTATATTAATTATACCTTTTATTATTATTAACAGTTACTGTATTGCAGAGAAAGCCTCATCTATAATTAACAGCTAACAAAACTTAAAGTTAATTTAAGGAAGATAACCAGTAGTTATTTGTTGTACTTTTACATTTTCAGCTGGAAGCATATTAGAAAATATTATTCGGTATACATATGCAAAATTGACAGAAAATTTGTATTGTGATGAAAAAAGGGAAGGTAAATGCATAGAATTGTGACGTTTGCTTCAAATTTGTTTTGTCTTGATACACGTTCAGTGGTGTAAAATTTTTAAGAGGTTTAGATTTAATTTTTACCCTAACATTGCACCAGCTTAAATCTAACATATATTTCAACTGAGTAACAAAGAGAGATCATTTGTTAGTCTAAGATACTATTATTCTTTGAAAGTCGTGCAACTATGTTTGCCCATTGTTTCTTTTACAACTAGTTTATGTTGTTAGACCATTTTGCTAAGTGGGATATCGCATTTGAATTTAGCAAGTGGCTCATTTACAATATTCTGATCTTAATGAATTTGTGAATACAATAATGTTTATAGGTTTTGAAATAAAACTCATAAGTTTCGTGAGATTATTACCAAAGTGTGTCAAAGCAATTTTTTATTATATATATGTATATACACACACTACTCACAAAAATTGATGGCTATTGAAGTTTACTTAAACTTGTATAATTTTAGACCATAATTTTTTTTTAATTTGGTATGTTTATTGTAAAGGATTACACTAATCCTGTCTAGAGTTTGCAAGTTTATACACCAGTGATTCTTTATGTAATAGACCTTTATGAGAAATGCAAAATAAAGAACTAGACTTTTGATTGATTATTGAAGATGTTTACTGTTGAAATAATGCTAGGTTTTTGTGTTTTTGCTGATATTGGTATTGCAAAAGATATGCAAGCTCTTACAATTCAATTAACTGAAACTGAAGTTTGTAGAGCCATTACACTGCTTCAGACCGCACCAGATACCAATCTACAGAAGAATACGCCAAGATGCTAGATCAGCATCGCAGAAGGACTACAGATGACAGATACCTGTGGAATTTAGCTCTCAAAACCGCACCAGCAGCGTTAAGGGCCTCACGAACAAGCTTCAGCAAGCCACTAGAGTCAGGAACAGGCTCCATGAGACTGGGCTCAAGTCCAGGATACCAGTTAGAGCCCCTGTGCTAATCCAAAGGCGCCGAACAGTCCAACTGGCATTTGCCCAGGAACATGTCACCTGTACCCTTCAGCAATGGACTCCTGTACTGTTCACAGGTGAGAACATGTTTTGTGTATCTTCAAGTAATCGACGTGTGAGGGTCTGGAAGCGTGAGGGATGGCGATATTCGGCCTGTAACATTGTCCATCATGATGTCTTTGAGGGGGGCTCAAATATGGTCTGGAGTGGCATCTAGATGCAGGGGTGTACAGACATCAATGTGGTGGGTGGAGGATCTCTAACAGCAAGAATTTACGTGGATGAGATCCTGCTACCTATTGTTCACCCTTTTGCTAGTGCTGTCGGAAATGCGTTGGTGTAACGCCCGTCCACACCCCGCCAGAATCACACAACAAAGTTTTCAGGATGAAATGATAGAAGTAGTGGATTGGACTGCTAAGTTATTGGACCTAACTCCGATTGAGCATGTGTGGGACTTGTTAGTGAGAGCAGTCAATGACAAACAACCTGCTCCTACGACTGTCTAAGAGCTCAGAGCTGCTCTCATCAAGGAGAGAACTATGCTGCCCCAGCAAGTCATCTGAAGTATCATCAACAGTGTGGGGAACAGGTGTAGAGATGTCATAAACGATAGAGGAAGACCTACCAGCTACTAAAGACTTATTTTTGTTAAGTTTGTTCATATTGATACGTCATTTTGTTTTCTTTGATACTTGTAACGCTAACTAAAAATTTGAATTTTCGTTAATTTTGCTTTTTTTTGTTATTTGTAAATGAATTTTTCGACTTGCTTGGTATTGGTTACCTGTTACGTTTGTAATAAACAAATTTTGACAATATTGAACGTCTCTCTGTGTTTTTTCTTCAAACATTGAAAAATAACATATCAAATCCTCATTATTCTTTAATTTTAATGAGCATTGCATATTAAAATGCTTAATTCCAAAAATCAAAAAAAGGTCCCGTACACTTAGAACAACCTTAGTATTAGTTTATAAACTGTAAATATTCGAGATAACTACTTTGTTACTTCCTCAAACTCATTTTGTTTATTTAATTAATTCTCTCATTTTGTTTATTTAATTAATTCTCTCATTTTGTTTATTTAATTAATTCTCTCAGTTTGTTTATTTAATTAATTCTCTCATTTTGTTTATTTAATTAATTCTCTCACTTTGTTTATTTAATTAATTCTCTCAGTTTGTTTATTTAATTAATTCTCTCACTTTGTTTATTTAATTAATTCTCTCAGTTTGTTTATTTAATTAATTCTCTCAGTTTGTTTATTTAATTAATTCTCTCACTTTGTTTATTTAATTAATTCTCTCAGTTTGTTTATTTAATTAATTCTCTCAGTTTGTTTATTTAATTAATCCTCTCAGTTTGTTTATTTAATTAATTCTCTCAGTTTGTTTATTTAATTAATCCTCTCAGTTTGTTTATTTAATTAATTCTCTCAGTTTTTTATTTAATTTAATCTCTCAGTTTGTTTATTTAATTAATTCTTCTCAGTTTGTTTATT